GTCTTCCCCATACTTGTGATTTAGTTTACTGAACCAAGCTGAGTGTTTTTCAAGGCTCAGGAAACCCTTGCAGGTGTTTCGAGTTAATTAGACGATTCAAGTGATTCGTTGAACACCCTACTAGTATACTTTTTCATGATATTCTAATATTTAGAGATAGGATATTTGAGTTTTCTTAAGCTGTATGCCATAATCAGCAATATTAAAATAATAAAAGGCTTGCAATATTTCAGTTGATTTGTAATGAATCCAGAATGTATGACATTTTTGTTTTTTTAATTGCATTACAGAAAATAAAGAACTTTATCAAAATATTCTAATTTTCTGAGACAGTCCTGTATGTATTCAGTCATTATTCAATGGTATACTAAAATCCATGTGAAAGAAATTGCTTCTCACTGTTCTCAGGTCAAATATTTATATGTGATTAAAAATGCGATTAATTGCGATTAATTAATTACAAAGCCTGTAATTAATTAGATTAATTTTTTTAATCGAGTCCCGGCCCTAGTAAAAACACTCTTAACAGTAGATTTAGGTGTTGACAAAGCTACATCTCTCTTTAGGCTATCACCAATGCCACATATTAAAAAGGGCCCAATAGTGCTTTTTGGGGTTATCCATTTCCAGTAGTGTGTTGATTACGTAATTGTGAATGTAAAGGGACTGCAAAAGCTTAATAGAAAAAGTTCCCCCAGAGTTTCTCTCCAACACACCTGACTGAAACTAATTCCTACATTAAACGTAATAGACTAAGGGGTGGGACGTATCCAAGCGGTTGGCTCTGGTTTCAGACAGAGGGTGAAAAGAGGTGCAGCAGCACAGGCAGTATGAGAACAATAAAGAGCTTTTTGAACATTTAAGCAGGAAAAACGTAATACTAATGAACCTGGAAATTAACAGACTATGTCCTCTTTAAGTTCTCTCAGTCTATAATTACAAAGCAACCCTGATTTCTCGGATTTCTGAACTTAAAATGGTGCAGGTGCTTATTACATGAACTTAAATAACTCACAATTCATGGCAAAACTGACTTCTTAAATAGATAGATAGAGATTTATTGTCTCCCTTGGGAGAGATTTGCCTTGGGCAGTCGAGAGAATACACATAAACACAGGTATACATATAGAACAACCAGAGTCACAGATACACTACAAAGATCACATGGCATACATAAGGTATACAAACATACAGGTGTACCCGTTACACTCCATTATTAATTAGGCCGAACTGTCAATTTATTGACAATTGAGTTAAACAAGAAATCTGAACTTACCATGCAGGGCAGGGCAGCCAATGGACCAGCACTTCTTTACAGCCCTTTGAAACAGAAGAGAGGACAAAAACTAAATATTAATTATTTTAATTTATAATTCAATACTTCATTGCATTTCATCCCCCAGGATTTTAAAATGGTAAATGTTTGGATTAATGTAAGACCTCCCAGAGAACAGCTCAACATGTAATTGTTGAATTTCTGACAAAATTCAACAATTTGAAAACTATTATGTTTGTTGTGTTGAAGGTCCATACCTGTTGTGTACTTCATGCAAACAATATAGCTACTAACCTTACTTTCACGTGTCTTTGACACAGATTGCACTGGAAACGCGTCCAGTTTGCTGTGATATTCACACACTGTAAAGAAACATGAAATTAAATTGTCCATAAATCCAAAACTTGATATCATGTATGGTCTTGCAAACTTTTAAGTTGGGTTTTCAAATTGAAAAACACCATTTGTAAGGCCTCAAACAAATGCATGTCATAATTTTCCCATACTTTATATGACATAATGCACCTCTTGGGTACCACAAATGACCACATAGTGAACCACAGATTATCTCCATGTGCCACAAAGCTTTTTTTAGGAATCAAAAGAACTACTATTATGTCAAAAGTTGTATATTTTTTTTATTACAGATCTGTAATGCCTGTATTTTTTTTCATACCTTCCTCCTTGTTTTGTTTTTTCTTGCCTCGCTTCTTTTTTGCTGATATTTTAACAGCTCTCTTTCTATAAAGAGAAACAAAAAACAAGTGTTAATTGCAATAGTCATGTGGTGTGTGCTTTGCAAACCAGGGAAGTACTTGCGAGAACACTTACATTTTAAGAAAAAGTTGGAAAAGCAAAGAGTGAAAAATCTTCTGGCTTAGAGGCTGCTTTTTTTTTTACACTGGCACTTTTTTTTAACCGTTCTGTATCTCATATTGTATAGAGTCAAGATTTCCCTCATTGTTCTACATCATATATTCTATATTGATACCTACCTGTCGATTGCTTTTTTCTCTGCCTCAAACTCTTCTTTCTCCACTTCCACCACCTGTTCTTTCTCCTTGCCTGCCTCCATCTCTCCTGCCACCACCGGTCCAAACTCTTCCTCTGAGTCTTTCTGTCCCTCCAGCTCTCCTCTCTCCAGTCCTTCACTCGCTAATCTGTCTGTCTGTGTCTCTATGTCCCCTTCTGTCTCCATCTCCTGCATCTCAGTAGTTCCCTCAGTCTCATCCATTTCACCTCCCTCCCCCTGTTCTGTCTGGTCATCTTCTTCTCCAGTCCTTTCATGCTGCCCTAGACCCTCTGTCTCAGGATCCCATGCTTTGAAGTTAAACAAAGCAGACAAACAAGACATTAAAGATGTAGTGCAGGGTTGAAAATATGATTAACCAAAAAATATTAAAGTTTAACAAAGAAAAAGGAATAAATGAATTGCCCAAAACCAATTTAGGTTGTCTAAAATATTATCTGACTGACATTTCTATCTGATCCATCTGGATAGGTACACAATACAGGATTAAACTTAATAAAGAATCATGAATGTGCTGTGAACTACCTTCTAAAAAGCCTTCAAAAAGGCAAACCATTTTTTCCAGGACCGCATGGGCTACCAGTGGCAGCTCGAAGGGGCACTGGAGCTGGGCCGTCCACTTCTTATTTTTATTGTGGTACTTCCCCCAGAAGAGGAGAGGAAAGTACCCAAGGGCCTTCAGTTTTTCGACCTTAAAAACAAAGAAAAACATATAGACAAACATCACACAAATAGATACAGACAGAGATAGATTTTCCAGGCAGTGTTAAAAAGGCAAGACTTTAAAAAAAGAGAGTTGGCAGTCCACTCTCTATAGTGTGTCTTAATCAGAGAGAACCATCAGAGCAACACCACTACTATTTTCTAAAGAGACAATTGTGTTCCTGTTCTGTTTTGCCATTCATTAGCATCTGCCATGAAGTTATATTCACTCTACCACATTACAAGTGAACCAAAGGAGACACCTCTTAACCACACCGCATTGGCCGTCGGCCATGTTTTTGTGGTGTGTCCCGCATCATTGGCATTTTTTGCCATTCCCAACAACCTTTGCTGATGATTCAACATGTTGAATTGGCAGCAGAGCTGTCTGCAAAATAAGATAGCTTAAGGAAATCTGTGCACAAGAAGAAAAACGGACTTGAGGAAAACTAACTACTACAGTCCAAAGGCTCACACAAAGTCTTTTAATTTGTTATCTCATCTGGTCGTTCTATTACTCAGATATTCCCAACATGAAGCTGAGTGGAGAGTGTTGTGAAAATGTTTTAAAGAGTGTATCACAAACATTGCCTTTATTTCTAGAGCCTTATGTATTTTGTTGTCCCTTTTGAAATGAGGAAGACATACTTCTGCCTACTGCTGTTGTGGAGAGTAAAATCCTCTTATGCAGGTGCAGAGTGTAAGTGAGAGTTGGCAGTAGGTTTTAATCTGTGTGGTATTTGACCTTCTGGCTTAAACGTAGGCAACGTGAGGATACCATACGTCTCTACTAGTTCTTTGATGTTGGTTGGTGAGTCAGAACATTTAGTCTAAAATTGCTTTGGGGGGTGGGGATGAATGGCAAACAATGTTGACAGGGCTAAAGTCAATGTATCGTTTTTTATATTTATACTAGCTAATTACCGAAATATTGCAAATGCATTTGGGTTAATGAAATCTTGACACATAATTGAATGACATTTCAAAAGTTGTTCCTTCCCTGTACAATATAGATTCAATTAATATTTCTCTAATGTTGTGGGACAGTAACCTTCAATGGCTGACCAAAATAAAATAAAGTGTTTATTACCATCAGGACAGAATTATCGAAGATCTTCGATTGATTTCTCGACCAGTGTACTTTTTGGGCCCAGTCTTTTGCATTCTGCCGGAAATCCTTCATACGGGCCGTGTGCCTTGGTTTCAGCTCCAACATCTTCCCACACTGAGGAAGTGAGAGGGAAAGAGGGAGGACATACTTACTTTTTCTGATAGAAAGACAGTTATAAACAGTTGGGAAACAAAGTATTGTTTATTTCTTTCTTTTAACCATGTATATATATATATATTATAATATAATACTTCCCAAAAAAATGAATCGGAAAATCAATTAAATTCAACTGATTGTACAGACTGACAAAATATAATACCGAGTAAATGTACCGGATCATTTATTCAGCAGGCTAACCAAGTTAGGATATCTAATTAACAGTGTACAGAGGGGCCACATTCACTTTATCTAACTATTTGTAGCAATTCATATTTTAATTGACACTATGAATGTCCATTATATGGCCTCATATATAATCATAATAAAATATTATTCATTTTTTTTAAATCAAAATATTGTTATTTAAAAGAACCAACAGTCAAACTTTTCAATGGAACAGGCACATGCAGTAAATGTAATGTTCTAAAAAACACCTATACTGTGATGCACATTTGTGGAGTGACAAAACTCTTTCCGGCTTTTATTAGAAAAAAGTCACCACTTTGTTCGCCACTTTTACTGTATTGGGTTTTGCAGAAAACAATGAGATATTTATAGGCAAAACTAACTGCCATTTATGTATGAAAAAGGGCTTTGTCCGAGAGACAGTATAATAGACTGTATTATGAATACTTTAGTAGACATATATATATATATAGTTATATTTACCTTTGTGCATCTACGATTTGCGCAGTTTGATTTTTCCAAACAATGGGGGCACTGTCTTTTTGTGGAACCACCTGGCATTGTTGCTACATTATGAACAAAACAAAAACATCACATGTATCACATATAGTTATTGGCGTGACACAAAACTAAAATTCTTCCATATAACCATGTATGATTACTAAAGTCAAATG